ATATATATATATATATATATATATATATATATATATATATATATATATATTTTATGATTGTCTATGAGAGTCCTACAAATTTACCATATACCCATACTTGGTATACGCCCATACAGTGAGCAGATAATCATGTCGTTCTGCTTGCTAAACTCATAAGGAGTGTTTATTTCTGTAAAACTGTATCTGAACCAAAGCAAACGATTCCCAGTAACTGAAGCATTTTCTCACCTCCTTCGCCTTTCTGCTCAAAGTATATGAACATAAACATGGTTCCTCCTCCAGACCAGAAGAAAATGGTTTAAAAACTGGCCTCAGTGTTGACTCATCATGGTTAGAGCAGTGCGTTTGTGCTCTGAGAAGATGGCAAGTACCTGGTTTGATCCCCACTGCCTGCACGCTGTGTCTCTGAGCAAAGACCCTTAACCCCACACTGGGCGCTACACAATGGCAGCCTACTGCTCCCCAAGGGGATGGGTAAAATGCAGAGATAAATTTCTCCAATGTGAGATCAATACATTTCAATTATTATTATTTTAATTATTATCATGATCTTTCTATTTCAGAGAAGCAAGTTAGATGGAGAAGAAATATCTGATGTGACATTGTTTTGGTCCCATTAACTGATCCAGAGTTGATTTTGTTAAAAACTAAATTTTTCTTTAAGTGGATTTATAATCCCAGGATAAAGATACTGAAATAAAATCAGGTATTTTCAGAGTAGGGTTATGCTAGTCCACTTTTTTTACAACTTCATTTCTCATAAACTCTAACTTTACCTCCTCTCATCCTGCTAATTTTCTGATCATGCGGGCTCGGTGTTTGTTTACGGCCAGCTGTTTTGGTCTGAGTTTGCTTCACACTCTTCTTCTCCCCACTCTCCTCCTCCACTTCTCCCACCACCTCATTCTTCTTCTTGGCCAGCTCTCTCACAGCGTGGGTTGCCTTTTCTTCAATTGGCAGTGCCAGAAATTTCTGCATCTCCTGAGCATCAAAAAGAAAGACGGGGTGAGGAGACAAGGGGCCTGCCTTCAACCTGACTGAATCCAGCTTTGCTGCAAAGATTGCAGCGCAGCTTCACTGCAGAGAAAACATTTTCAAACACATCCCTCAAGAAGCAAACAGACCTCTCTTCGTTCCGCCGGTTCCTCAGCGCTCAGTGCAAAAACTGTGCGGCTGTTCAGCATTTTGTATGGACTCTGTGGTGTCCTCCTCCTCATTTCTGTAAAAAGTAAAAAAAAAAAACAGAGCACATAAGTTCAGCGGTGCCATTATATTATTTCTACTCCCCAGATTTTTTCCCCCAGTTTATATCTGATTTTTGTAATTTGGCAGCATTATCAGCCTCTGAAACCACAGCAGTGATTGCTCATTTAGCTGAAAGCACAAAATGTAGAGTAGTACAGTGGCTGCGCTGATACTGTATGTGTGAAAGCTTGGCATCTTATCAGAAACGTACGAGGATGAGGTGAAGGCATCTCTATTTCTGTTGGAGCTACATCAGGTCATCTTTTAGCTCTGCAGTGGGTTTTAAAAAGACACAAGAAAAAAAAAAGCATAGACAAGAAGTTCTCTTATTAGAAAAAAATTTGAATCAGCTCTGTTAAAGAGATTGGAATGTAAATTGTTGTCGACAATAAAGAAGTTTGATTGATTGATCGACTGAGAGACATGCTTTTATTCAAAGTGTTGTTTGGTTTTGGCTTTTTATGATTTACGGTAACTATTTTAGTTTAATTAATTGCTGGGATCAGTAAAGTATTTTTTATTTACATGTGCTTTTAATACTTAATGTGTTTTATCCTTTTTGTCTTCATAAATGACACCGTTTTGTGTGTCACTGTTAATTATTGCTCTGTAGCCCACGTTAACAGAACAATAAACATTTGCCAGTTTCCTAAAACAAATGTATACGGTCAAATTAAACAATTTCAAAGACAACCATTCATTTTGGAATGAATTACTTTTTTTTCATATACGAACTTGTGGTTTCCTGTCAGTGTGATGCCGTAGGATTTGTATGGAGATTCTCAGGCTTTTCCTTTGGTAGTTCACTTCCGTATTTCTGCAAGTCAGTTTGCATATTGGCTAAATATTTAGCTAGCACCAGGCTAGCTAAGTATTTAACTAGCTTGGTGTTGGCTAAATATTTTGTTTGTTAAATAAATATTTAATTTGGAGCTAAACATTAATTTAACAAACTATATATTAATTATGGAGCTAAATATTTTCAATTTTCAATTGTATACTGAATTTTCAATTCAGTATACAAGGAAAAACTTTGGTCCAATAAGTTGCACTTGCAATAGAAATCAGCTTTTACAGGATTGTGAAATAACAAGAGTCCGAGCATCAGGGGCCACCCTACAAAGGTGAACCCAGGACACGGGGTCCAACTGTCACATTCCTTGATTCAACTCAGTTTATTTCTATAGCGCCAATTCACAACACATCATCTCAAGGAACTTTACACACTTTAAATTGATTCAAAGTTTTCTATCTAAGGAAAACCAGTTGATTGCATCGACTCATTAACTTAAAGGCAATCCCTCACACTAAGCAGTGGAGAGGAAAAACTACCTTTTAACAGGAAGAAACCTCAAGCAGAACCAGGCTCAGTGTGAGCGGCCATCTACCGAGGCCGACTGGGGTTCAAGGAGACAGAAACAGAGATAGAAAAAGCAGCTGTAAAAGACGGCCCCGTCCAGGAAACGCACAGCCAGGCAGACGAGCTCCGAGCCAGCTCCCATGTCAGAGGAAGAAGAGAGCACATCCAGCCAGTCACAGTCAGAGAAACAGGACTACACTGGAAAACAGGCCGATCTCCACCATCTATAAACAAAGGTGTTGATGGCAGCAGCACAGCTGATATTTCTCTCCAGGATGGTGTATTTCAAAACTAAATATTTAATTTGCAAGCTAAATATTAATTTAACAGTTTAAGATTTTTTATAAATGAATGAATGACATAGTGAAAAAATGAATTGGGGGAAAAAAATAAAGTCCTTATGTTTCTCTTAAAAAACGCAAAATAACCATAAATATTGCTCCCAATTTTTGCTTATTAACTTTAGGCGCCCCATATTAGACAGAACAATTAAAACAACCAGAAAATGCAAATTTTAAAAAGAAAAATTCCAGGCTGTAAAACTCTCCAAACCAATTTTCTTTTTAATGTAGAGCTTATAAAACCAGCACCATTACTCACTGCTTGCTGTATATTAACTTGGCCTCTAAACCAAACGGTAGGTTCAAGTTAAAGTAAACAATATGGCGTACAAAAAACTACGCCTAAAAGTATATCTGTGTCAAAAAAGTAACTGTAACTGATATAATAGCAACTAGTTACTACCCACCTCCAAATCTGAGTGTCTGTTTATCGTTTTTTATTCCCCCCGCCCGACGAGAGCAGATGCATTTAGAAGCGTCGAGTAGGCTTGTGTTCTGTTGTCATGGTAACTGATGCCTTTAAGGTTCCTTTGGAATTCTGTCCACTGGCGTCAGTGTTTCGCGTAACTTTTCAGTTTTGAGTTTTAAACGAGTTAGACATGCTTAAAAACGAAAAACTTATTGATATCGTTACTTGCGACCAATAACTGCAACAATAAACGCTTTTATACTTCTTCTTCTTCTTCAAAAAAATTGCTATAACTTTAAGACAGAAATTAATAAAGTTTCTGTTTACAATCAAAAGGATTTCCTTCCGTCCGTCCAGTTAAATTGCATTAAAAAATAGTTTATGCTTTAAAAGAATAATTAAATGTCAGATAATGCTAACAAGCTGAAGTCAGCTTAAAAATAAATTTATCTTGGTGGAAAAGGTTAATAAAAGCCATTTTAAACGATAGCCTACTTTAGTTTGTTGCAAATTAGAGCACAACTCACCCTTTAAAAAAGAAAAACAAAAAAGGAAAATGAAGAAATTCATCACCTGGAATTTTTGTGTACTGTTACCATAGCAAGTGGTGCGTTCAAAACATCTGGAATTTTATCAATTATCTCCATATCTGACACACTAACTTGCATGAAAAATAATTAACAGCATAACACAAAGCGAATGGAAAAAAAATAGTTATTGTTAGCCTTTTGTTTAACTACATATGTATAAAAATGTAACATTTGAGGTTCCCATTTGAATATAATGTTTATTTTCCACTAGATGGCATCCATCTGTCACACATTCACATGCAGCAAATATAATCTCCTTAGTGTATACAGAGATAGCATTTTTTTCAGGAATATTCCAGATTAAAAGCCACATAGACTCACAGGCATGTTATTTATGTAAGTAGAATATAAAACAGCTCCTGCTTCTTTCAAAGTGTTGATCACCAACACTTCTCTTAGTCTATGCTCTGCCAGTGAATATACTTAGAACACCATACTGTACCTTGCATCCCACGCATCCACACATGACCCCGCGCATCTCTGCTCAACACAGCAGCCCACACACTACAGTTGCTTGTAGGAAATCCCACTGTCAGATTGTTGGGTTAAAGTATCACTCACTCACACACGGGCGAGCGTTGGCCCATGCAGCAGCAAAGGCCACGTTGTGTAAGAAAACATTCGAATGTAAGAAACTGAATGTGCCAGAAAATTTCTCTTCACAAATCATGCTTCCCTTCTCACAATTCCTGCCACAGTGTTTGGTTTTTCAAGTACTTTAGTGACTTTAAAGTATACACTTTTTTTTTTAGAAGCATTATTGGTTCTGCAACAAAGATAACTGACCATCTATGAAAATGATATAAAAGGGACTTGTGTCTGTTATAGCAATGCGTCAGCTGTTTGAGGATAACAGATTGTTCTTTCTCTGCTCACGCAGCCCAGGCATGGTGGATATTTGGGATTATATAAAATGCAAACAATCGCCAAAAAAAAACATGTTTTTCTAGAATCAATTATCTGCCTTCCAACTTCTGCAATATTTAAAAACTAAAATGACAGGAGAAACATAGGAATGGATTATTGTGAGTGATCAGAGGAGTTATTGCGAAGGTGACAGGCTTTGCCACTTCTCCTGCTCAGGTCTTGCTCTCAGTTTAAAGCAGGTTGAAGGGAGGAGAATAAATCTGATCTGCTGTCAGGAAACAAAAATGAGAGCAGAGTCAGAGCCGCCCTGTTGTCAAGCAGAGAGCTTTTCAAACTCAGACAGCGTTTGTAAAGCAGCAGCACTGTTTGTCACATTTCCCTTAACTTTTGATCACATTATGCAACTGCGCTGTATAAAAGTTATGAAAGCAATCCAAGTTAAACACTGCTCATTTATTAACTTATTATCCTGCTGTTGCTTCTCTAAAAAGTATCAGAGGCAAAAATGACTTTTAACAAGATTTCTTTTTAGAAGGATGTTAACATTGCAGAGAAAAAATCTGAAATCTCCTAATCATATGAGACTGTGGCATTACTGTGTAACCAAAGAGATTATTGGAGATTTTATTGCATTACATCATTCCTGAAGCTGACATAGCAAAGTTTTTAGTCGTCTACATACAGGCAGGTTGATTTTTTTTACTGAAACCTGTACCAATGGTGGAGAGGATGGATCCCCCACATTCAGTATAAAGGTTATTACCTGTTTTATATCTGATTCAGATATTTGAATATGCCATTCAGTTGTGTAGGTATCATAGACTTAGACTCAGCTTTATTTATCCCTTGTGATTACTCCTTCAGGCGACAAATACCGCCTTAAATATCTTAAAATCCTTCATAGGATTTTACAATATACAAAAGTTTTAAAAACACTGAGTCCCCCCTTAAAAAACGTTAAAAATGTTAGTAAAAACTATAGCAGGAAACTGACTTTTGACTGAATCTGGTGTTTGATGTTAGATGGAGCTGAAAGCAGTTACTGGAGAAATAATTGATGGTTCATACAGACACTATGACCGATATCCTATACAGCACCGGGAAAATTAAAGTTTATCCAAAACAAAAAAAAATGAACCTGGATAATTATGCTGAACAAAAAAAGAAACTGGAAAAAGATCTGCATCTGAAAAAAAAAAGTAAAGAAAAAACATTTTGAAACTGGAAAAATAAATGATGCAAGTGAAAAAAAGATGTCCAACTACAAGTAAAGTGCAAAACTACTTTTCATGTTCAAATCCTTTGTTTTTTTCTTTTGTTTTTGCATTAGCAGATTTATTTTTTTTTTTCAGTTAGAGGACTTTAAGTTTACTTTTTGGTGGGGTGGTCCACCATAATACTTCAGGTTTTATTAAGCCAAACTTTGGTAGGCGGGCACTGGGTGTCGCTTCATCCAATCAGCTCACAAGGTTCTGCTGAATCTCTCAGATTGCTAAAAAAAATGACAGTATGTGATTAACTGCAGTTGACTTGTTTTTGTTGAATGTTTGAAAGCTTTTTTGACCGAATACTGTTGATAGTATTTCATATTTATTATTATATGCATATATGTTATACTTATATTGTATATTGTATATGCATTAACTGCCATAAAGGGTTTCTTCTGCCTGAAATTATTTAGTGCTTTTTTGTATCATATTAAGTATAACTTCATATTATTTTGTGTGATTACATGATTTTAAACCTTAATTAGATTTATAATTAGTTACACAGTACTTGAGTGGCCTTTTACTAAATATGTTTTTTACTCTACTAGAGCTTACTTGCTTTTTACTTTAGTAAAAATATGTTGAAGTAGTGCTACATTTGTTAGGCTACTTTACCCACCCCTGGTTATGAAACACATTTACCATATATTAATATTTCAGTTGGCTTGCAATAATCATCTTTATTCTAATTTGCCCTGGTCCTCCCCTTAATCCACTTCCATGTGTTTCCTAGATGCCAAATGTCTCTGAAATCCATGGCTTTACTTTTAGGAGGGAAGATTTTATCTTGATAGAGATTTACAGCAAACTGCCAAAACAAAAAGAAGGAACTGACAATGTCAGGCTGTTCTACAGGTGACTTACTAAAGCCATTTAATCGATTTCATAGAGAAAGACTGGAGAGGATTTTCCTTTTCTTTTAGGAAATAATCCGTGATGGAGGTCCTGCTTTATCTGTTATTCTTGTTTTTTTTCTAGTAAGAACAAATTAATTTTTTTTCATATTTGTAGTGAAGGAAAAAAATGCTGTTATATCATAGTGACTTTCATGTCGGCGTCCTCCAAATGTAATGAGTTTCCATTTTTGCATATCTTTTAGTGTGTACGTGTAATTGTGTGTGTGTCTGCGTGTGTGTGTGTGCTCAAGGTCATTCCTTCATGTGTGGCTTTTATTTTAACAGTAGAAACAGTCATATTACAATAAACCTATGTTTTTGTCCTGATTTACCTAACTTTGAGGAAAAATCGTGTCTCCAGCGTCCTGTCTGGGAATACAATCGGATTGTTCCTCATTTTAAAAGCAGCTGTTCTGAGACTTCAGAGAATCCGTCATTTCTTTGCACCCACCTATCAAAGCCTTTTCCAACACTGATAATATAGTTTCTGATCTCCACCTCCTTTATGTTCCCATTTTGAATCATCCATTCTGGTTTCTAATAATAATCTGGTTCATTTGTAAGGATTTAATCCAACACGCTGCACCATTCTTAACAAATCCTCAGAGGGTAATGAAAACACACGATTATATTTGGTGTTCTGATTATCCCAGCCTCTACTCTCAAACAATCTGATTAATTGAATACATTATTTGTGCTGTCAAATTGCGACTTTTCTACAATTTTCTAAATATAGGAGCCAGTGAAGCATGTCTAATGCTGGTTTATACTGTATAATTACTTGGTTTGGAAGAGAGGGGAGCTCCAGCTTGACACAAAGTGCAGTAATTGAGGCATAATTCAAATCCTCCACATGTCTATCAGCAGAGTCAGCACAGTTTAAACTGTGGTTGCATGTCAGGTCTATTGAAAGGCAAGGTATTAACATTTTAATTAGTCTTTTCTCATATTTTTTTTTAAAAGCGGGAACAACCTGGATGAGAAGCAATTTGGTTAAAAGCTTTAAGGAGAATATGATGGATGTAGATTTATTGCATAAGTCTGGCTTCATTATCCCTCTGTCAGAAAGGATATTCACCAGCTTCCTGTTTTCTCTACTTTTTGAGGACAGCCTGTGAAAAATTACTTCAAATACATCGAGCCGGACAAAAAGAAATCACTAATACAAACAGGCGGAGTGGGTCATAAGTGGTGCAAGGCCGGCTAACAGGTTTTCAATCATCCTCATTTAAAGGGGCTGCTGGCTGGGTTGTTTAAGATAATAGGGCTGAGAAAACCTTCTTCAATCTGTAAATAAGTGGAACAAACAGCAGCAAAACAGAAAGCTACATGATAGTAACATGCAATGTGGGAAAAAACAAACAAAATTGCTTTCTTCCTTTTCACTTTTTAAGGCTGTTACGATTGACAAAATAATTGCTATTCGC